TATTGAAGTGATTGTAAACTAAAACCATCAGATACTAAGCTGGTGGTGCCGAGGCAAGTAAGCCTCAGTTGCGGTTGCAAGTTCGATTTTCGCGGTGTCAAACTTGAGGTTAACTTAACTTAGGGTTACCTACGCACATTAATAAATTTATTCATTTCATACATGATTCCGATTTGTAGTCGCCATAGTATGAGTACATGCTCTTCTTAGATTACTTAGTTAATGTTTTTTAGGAGACAAAAATAGTGTCAAACAAACCTTTTTCACTCCCTCAACAAAAAAAGTTTTAAAAATGTATTTCATTAAAAGGTCTCCCTAAGTATCTGCCTATAAAACGCAAAATTGTTTCAAAAGGAAAAGGAATGAAAACCACTAGACAAATAATCAAACGAAATTTGAAGACTTCAATAAGCTTTCAAGTTGATTTGAAACCATAAACGCTTTGAAAGCTCCAACTAACCGCAAAGTTACTGAAACGAAGCCTATGCCTTCAAAAATATCCTTGCGGCCATCAAATGGCAATAGGAACAGCAACTTTCACGGTACAAATTATTAGGGCGTGGCTGGCTTAATATAATGCGCTTGCGCCGCATTGTAATAGTTTGTACAGTCGGCTACGAAAATATGTGTCGAAACTTTTAACCAGCCTCGTAAAAATTGGTCGGGTTTATGATTCCTTACATACAGTCTTTTTTTAACAAGCTAGTATAACTATGAATCCAAAATCACTGGTCATAATCTCACAGTAAATAATCATTCTATAAATGTGGGTTTAAACATCAACCAAACATAGGCTTGAATCAGTGCTTGTGTTTTAATCGAGTTTCAAGCGTCTTTTTAGAATATGTGTGACCCCAAAAGATTGTTCCTTGTTACATAAAGTAGATAGATAATTCTTAAAAATATGTTCAGTTACGTCCTGTCTTTTAGATGCTGTATAGTTTTGTGCAAACATAATGTCAATGCTGATGGATTTCCATCACTGATTTACTTTTAAATTTATGATAAACGATACTGAAAAAGCTGCAAACTAAAAAAAACTGTTAACCGCTCTTCTTTTTTACAGATAACACATCTGTTGCAAGTTTCTGTATCTGAGTGTACGTTAAATGTCCACTTATCTTGTCGGCCCGGCTTATTCTGGCGAATGCACTTTCGGATATCGGGTGTTACGCTAAATATTATGTGGGTTAGGTTTTAAATATCGACACTAACAGGCATGGGCTTAGGTTACATTAACATTTTCACAAATATTCGGGACTAATTTTGATTTTAACTACCCTTAGTATAAGTATAAGTTACAGACTTTGAAAACTCTATGCGTACTTGGGATGAAAGATGGATTAACAACCACTCTATAAAATTTTCTTTTTATGAAGGTTACCCAATGTTGATTCAGTAGGAAGTAGGTGAATAGGTGTCAAAGTAACCTCGGGCTAAAAGGAAGTTGAATTGAAATCAGATTTCATTCTATTAGGGATGTTCGTATTCATAGTCGTGTGTGTTGTAAGTACACTGAAATCAATACATACTCTACGATAAGAACAAAGAACTGCTTTTGTTTTAGATTTTTGTTTTATTTTTGATACCTTGAAGTTCCTAATTTACGGCATGTCTTTTCTTTTGCTATTATATTACACTAGCGGCCGCCCGCGACTTCGTACGTGTGGCTCCAGTTTTCCGCCTCAGGGGTTGAATTTTGCAAAGTCCTGTCTTAGTGAGCACCTACGTTCTAAATGGAACCCCCATGAAAATTTTGAGACTCCTAGCACTTGTAGTTTCTGAGATGAGCGAGTCAGTCAGTGAGCTTTCGATTGTATAAATAGATATAGATTCTGCAAAGATTTTAGTCCACTCCAAAGAATGTGGACTTTTCTTTGACCTATGTTACCAAGTGGAATGTCACAGCTCTCACACACTGCATAAAACCTAACTAGATTCTGTGAACAAGTAAATTCCACCATGTTTGAAGTGAAGCTGCAAGAGCGATGTGAATGTGCCTGTAAGAAAAAGTCATCAAATAGTGATAGATATTTTCAGTGAAAATTATCGATAGTATTTATAATTTGTATAACACGGGCTAAGTAAACATTTTGATAGAAATACTTATGTCAGTTTTAGAAGTAAAAGCAGGCCTGTTCATCTCCGCGAGTTTACATCGAAAACAAAACACGCACGATGGCCCACCTACAGGACACTATTCGACAAGGCCTCACATACGAGCGAACATTGACTCACGCACGCGTATTCTTGGGTATGATGGAAGAAAATAAAGAAAATGGTGTACTAAATACTGTGCAGTATTTAACTGCATAAATAATAATAAAAACACAGAATGTATTTTTTNTGAAATGAAATGAAATGAAATGAAATGAAATGAAATGAAATGAAATGAAATGAAATGAAATGAAATGAAATGAAATGAAATGAAATGAAATGAAATGAAATGAAATGAAATGAAATGAAATGAAATGAAATGAAATGAAATGAAATGAAATGAAATGAAATGAAATGAAATGAAATGAAATGAAATGAAATGAAATGAAATGAAATGAAATGAAATGAAATGAAATGAAATGAAATAATGAACGTCAAAGCGAACGTGACAAAATTAGTTTCGATGAAGAGATATTTACATCTTGGCATGTACTTGGATGAAACGTAACGTGGAAAAAGCATATTTTTACCAAACGTCCAGCAGTAGGACAACAATAACGCAAAAAGTCATAAGAAATGGTCAACCTGCAGTGGAAAATAAGGTCTTGTTATGGTATAAGTGTATAATGAAGTTTAAATGGATACTGTCGAAGATGCTACCTGAATTGTAAATCTTTATGTGAATGCACTAATTGTTGGNCACTGAGAGGTAAATAAGTAGTTAATATTATTCATGATAATTCATGCTAAATCATGTATTTCCTCCGCCATTTTCCGCAGTTTGGCACCTCACGTCACATCATTTTACCGAAGTCAGCCCTATAGCTTCGGCGCAGTGCCGATCACTGACGTTTGTCAACAAAATGGTGCTTGACTCTTGAGACAGGCTAAATTACACCATATTGTTAATGACATTGAGCATATTTTTTTTTAAATACCTTCGCGAAGTAAAACTTCTGTACGTAGTACTTATTATTATTCTGTGGTAAAAGACACAACATTAAATCCGCCCTTCGTGTATGTTTGCCTTGCGCAAGAAAAATAAATTAATATTCACTGGTTACTTTTACAATATCAATCTACGACTATGTTTTTATGTGCCGATTGAATTTATGGCCGATTACAGAATCTTGTTATTGTTTACTTTTCATTTACAATAAACAGAATTTATTCAGTTTTTAATCTGTCTTATACCTGTAAAAAGCTCTCAAGAAACTCTTTTGTGAATATTATGTGATCCCGTTCACATTCCGCAGCTCCAATCAATCGATGTCGATATTATTGTATCGACACACTGTTGGAAAGTTAGAAACTTTTTGGTTAAACGCAAGCATATTTGAATATTTGAATTTGGCACTCCGCTGTCAATGTAAGGTTTCCAGACTTCTGGATCAGTCACTCGATCTCATGTAGTCTCTGTGTGCTGTATGTTCTAAAATAAATCCGTGGTAATCTTCGTGGTCTTTTCCTTCTTACGCTCCAAACTCCAACATGGTAGCAGAGCGTAGTTACAAGAAGTGAAAAGCGCTCATATTTCCGCGAGATTGGTCATACATCGCGCACTTGGAATTATTACCGTACCGGAAGCGGCGAACGGTATTCAAGATGGCTTCGATGGGATTCGGTCAGAATTGCATTGAGAGACTAAAGGGGGCAGAAAATTACTCCACGTGGAAGTTCTCGATGCGAATGGTGCTAATCCATGAAGAGTTGTGGGACTGCGTAGAAGCGGTGGCCGACGAGGACAACAAGAAGAAGGATAATAAGGCCTTAGCGCGCATCGCGCTGTCCGTGGCGCCGACCATAATCCCGCATATACGCACTGCCAAAAGTGCCCACGAAGCGTGGACAATACTACAGAAAACATATGAGGGACGTGGTCTGAGCAGGAGATTGGGCTTGCTGCGGAGTCTCTTCAATACAAAATTATCTGATAGTAGCTCAATGGAAGTTTACCTGAACAAAATAAAAGAAATTTCACATCAACTGAGTGAAATTGAATCGCCGCTGGACGATGAACTCGTTGCGGTGATCATACTGAGTGGGCTCACAGATGATTACGACCCGCTCATCATGGCGATTGAGCACTCATCTTCCAAACTAAAAGTTCATTGGTGGAAGAGTTAGTAAGTATTTACTGAATTCTGCAACGATCGACCCAGTTCACAAGGGTTATAACGCATAGTTATTTGATTCCCTCTTTTAAAATCTGAAGATAATGACATTATACCGAAAATCTAATGTAATGAGACCGTAACTGAATTTAATAGCATAAGATAATGAAAAGTTGAAGATGATAATGTTGATAATGTAATAATTAATTGGCCACATATGGAAAATTTGTCCATGGAAGTCGATACAAGTGTGGAACTGTGGACACAGATGTTTACGAACATTTCGAATGACCGACTCCAGGCTCCAGGGTAGTTATTGTGATAGAACATTAACGGAACATTATGTATATGAAATTCATACATAAATAATTAAGTTGCAAAGGATACAACAAGTCGTAATTCATTTAAATGAGAAGAATTTTAATGCTGGACTTTATGAAACTGAACGATAATGATGAATAATAAAGTCAAAGTGACTGTGTCATTGTTTTATATATTATACGTTGGTGAAAGTACTTATATACATTTACTTCTGTACGTTTAGTGGACGTGACAACAAAGAAAAGTATATTTACTGCCATCTCAGTGAAACAATCCAAGATGTATGTATACAGATACATGATAATGTGTTCCAACTTATAGAAAACAGTGAATTCTTATAAATGGGATACACTTGTAAAAACATAGGTACGATTAACACGTGGTAAAATCTTTATCTACAATAATGAAATGAAATGAAATAACGAACGTCAAAGCGAACGTGACAAAATTAGTTTCGATGAAGAGATATTTACATCTTGGCATGTACTTGGATGAAACGTAACGTGGAAAAAGCATATTTTTACCAAACGTCCAGCAATAGGACAACAATAACGCGAAAAGTCATAAGAAATAGTCAACCTGCAGTGGAAAATAAGGTCTTGTTATAGTATAAGTGTATAATGAAGTTTAAATGGATACTGTCGAAGATGCTACCTGAATTGTAAATCTTTATGTGAATGCACTAATGTGGTAAAGTAGCAGTATACGATGGAGTATTGAGATATTGTAGAAGCACCGTGGTACGTCACGAGAGACTTTACCGAAAATTCGGTATCAAAACAGTGAAAGAAGAAATAAATAATGAAACTAAACATATCATAATGAAAACTGGAGCTACATAACAGTTTATTTGTGGACGATATATTTTCAAGTATTCGTTCGTAGACTAAAGAAGAAAGTACCTCAGGACTTACTAAAAGAATATTGATTTATGACACTGGCCTCGAAGACCGCCAGAATTATTATTATGAAAATGGTACTGAATATCGCTCAGACAGAATGATTGCAATAACAGAGAAAAAGAAAATGTAACGAAGACGGAATGTAAATCTTTATGTGAATGCACTTATGTGGTAAAGCAGCAGTATAAGATGGAGTATTGAGATATTGTAGAAGCACCGTGGTACGTCACGAGAGACTTTACCGAAAATTCGGTATCAAAACAGTGAAAGAAGAAATAAATAATAAAGCTAAACATATCATAATGAAAACTGGAGCTACATAACAGTTTATTTGTGGACGATATATTTTTAAGTATTCGTTCGTAGACTAAAGAAGAAAGTACCTCAGGACTTACTGAAAGAAGATTGATTTATGACACTGGCCTCGAAGACCGCCAGAATCATTATTATGAAAATGGTACTGAATATCGCTCAGACAGAATGAGTGCAATAACAGAGAAAAAGAAAATGTAACGAAGACGGAAGAGTAAAATAGAATGTTTAATTTAAGGTCCTCGGGTGAAACTATTCACAAGGAAGGTGTTGACACTACACTGGTGTTGTCAAATGCGAATCGAATTTCAGCTGGATGATTGATTCAACTGTTGATTAAGGTGTTGCAGATGATAATTGATTCTCAAGTAATTAAACGATATAGATAGCATACATGTATGGGGACATACATCATAACGTTCGAATGGCCGAAGCGGAATGGGGACATTCCGGCATCAGGACGGCCGTCTGTTAGCAACGAAAGGATTAACGCTGATTTGGCTATCAAATTACACCTGAGGAACGCGGGGAGTCGTACGGGATAACAAAAAGATATTCCTTGTGGCATTCGAACGTTGACCGCGGGCTAGAACGCCATACGCCATGACTCGAGAGCCTTCTAAAATATGAGTGTGTTGTGTACCTATGATTGATGGCTTGAATTGGCAAATTATGGTATTGGTGAATAAGTTGGTTTCAGACTATTTGTATTTAATATCCAATTTGTGAGTGAGTATGTGTACGAATCTAACATATTAACATCCAGACATCCATACAAACCTTCGCATTTATAACATTCAATGATCACTGTTTTTAATTAATTTCTCAATTTCATCATAAGTTTTTGTTATTCATAGAATAGTATTTTAATCATTATGTCATAATATACCATTAATATTGGTCCCAAATAACACCAATCCCCACCGTGTGGCCTCGGTCTAACAGGAAACATGGCGCCAAGAAGAATTTTTTCAGCAACCGATTGTGGGCATATACTCGTAGTAGTGCACATTCCGCGTCCTTCATTCAGTAAAAAATTTGGTTAGCCACGCATTTGTGGTAATCTTGTTGCCACGCGTCCGCATGTCGTTGCGGACTGTAATTGAATTCCATACTGCTAGGCTGGCCACACTGTGGGATAGCTATACCTACAGGATGGAATTTTGTAATGCCACCTGGAGGAAAAGTACCCTTAATACTGTAGATAGAAAATTTTACTCAAAGAAAACATTCCTTTATTTTTGAAAAGAAAGAGAACTGCATTCTAATTTTCGAAAAATTTTTGAAAATCTTTGTTTTTTACAGTATTAAGGGTACTTTTCCTCTGGGCATTACAAAAATCCACCCTGTATATAGTGCCTGAAAAATGACCCCATTGTTATCTAATGCGTTGTAGTTAGTGTAGTTTCTTTGCTAGTCTTTTTCTTACAGTAGATGATTGGGCAGGTGTGAAATCACAAACTAAACGACAATCCAATGTTTTGAAGTAAAAAAAATGGTTGCCATTCTTATGAGAAATATTATATCTCGAAATTACCTTCATTCTGCGTGAGCTCCCTCTTGTAGCTACGGGTTGTTTCAATTTACTAAGTTGCTCGAGAGCCTGTGAACTATTAAAGTCCAGTTCAAAAAATTCGATTTCGAGAATACCTACGATTCCCGCATTTCCACAACAGAATCGGCAAGTATAGCTGATAAGGAGATTAGCCTTCAACCGAAAGGGAAACATTGAAGAAGGTAAGGCTATGCTATCTATGAATAGACCACAAATCGTGGTTGCCCTACGAGCGTAACGCATTGTTTTGCTTACAGATAGGCGCGAACGCTGCGAGCACTCGGTTAAAACGTTTGTTTTATTTGCTGACCGAGTTTCGATAAAAACGCTTTAGTTGACCCATGTGGATGTTAGAGTTTGGGATTGGACAATAAATTGGAATATTCACTTGAGAGTAGAAAAAACAACTGACAATCTCACTCGGCGATGCATTTGAAATGCCTACATCTGATATGCAACGTATAAAGTGATGTTAACTGTGATGTTTTGAACAGGCGTGATTCTATCCTATCTAATCGCGTTAAGTCCAAATTAAGAACTTTGTAAAGGTTTTTAAATTAAAAGGTTAGCGAGTGGCAGTGGGCAGGGCCCATAGCTCCTGATGGCCATTGGCACGGAATAGTTTTCGAGTGGCGACTACGGGCCGAAGACGTAGTGTGGGCGATCTGGTGAAGTTTGCGCGAAGTACTTAGATGCGGGCAGCGCAGGCGTTGTGGAAATCCTTGGGTGAGGCCTTTGTCCAGCAGTGGACGTCATTTAGCTGAAACGAAAGAACTTATAATAATCATTTTAAGTCATTTACACTCCACTGCAGGGGGACGACCCTCTCTAATCAGAGGCAAAGGGAAGATTTGGCCTTCAAAACTATATCAGAATCTACCTAAATACAGTTTCAAATATTTTCCGTCCATTTCACCCCTAACCATTTTTGATCATGCCTGTAAAAGTCATTCAACAGCCATCGAAGACGCCATTTGCGTCGAACGACTAAAAACTTAGTCTCGTGCAATATCAGTTTAATTTGCTGCACCGAAGTCTGCGCGTTAGAAACGCGTTTGCCTGATGCGCATATCATGGGGATATCAGCCAAACACGTGTTTATTCTGACCCTTATTCTTTGAGGCTTAAGAACGGAGTAGTTTAAGGAATCGAGTATGTTGATGTTCAAGCGCTCTACCATACTTAAAGGAAATAAGAAGCATAGCACGACGGGTTAACTATTACTACTATTTTATGTTATTATGTAGGTATATTAATGTACGCAGAACTGACGGCCGATGGGGCAGCAAGGTTCTGGAATGGAGGCCACGTACCGGAAAACGCAGCGTGCGACGTCCACCCACAAGGTGGACCGATGACCTGATAAAGGTAGCGGGAAGGCGCTGGATGCAGGCCGCTACCAACCGTGCGATGTGGAAGTCATTGGGGGAGGCCTATGTTCAGCAGTGGACGTCCTGTGGCTGAAATGATGATGATGATGATGATATTAATGTAAGGTAGTAGGCTAAAAATTTAGTACTTCATCGTTATCATCATTCAGCCACAGGACGTCCACTGCTGATCATAGGCTTCCCACCAATGATTTCCATATTGCCCGGTTGGTAGAAGCCTATATCCAGCGTTTTCCTGCTTTATGAGGTCATTTAATATATTCTTAGATTAGAATACTGTAAAATTAAACTGATTTTTATTAAATAGTTTAGACTTAGCTATGCCTGCCTAATGTTAACTTAGCTTGTTAGTGAGTGCTGTCTAAAGAAAAGAATATTGGTTAGATTTACATCACAGATTTAAAATGACTTTTTTACTTTACTTTATGATTATCATTCAGTAAAAAACACTTTAATTTGTTTAAACTAAATCGCATTTTATTAAACCCTTACCCCTTTTTGCCAATGAGTGTGCAATACTTGATTGTCATCACTCAGAGTGACAGGATACATGATGTGCACCCAATCCCACAAAGAGCTTTTATGCACCAGTATTAATTCATAGTGTTGGGGCGAGTGATGTCGATGAAAATTTTAACAAAAGCTTTTGCACATCACAGTCAGAAACGTGTGGTATTTAGTAATAAAGGACGAATACCGTATATTTTGCTTAGTTCGTCTTTGGTCTCCTAAGTTTTCAAATATCTAGCTTCTAGCTAGAACATGATTTAGTCTGAATCCTTAAAAAGGTAAGGAAAGGAAAGATAGGTAAAGGTAAAGCATCAGTCAAGGGCCGGTCTTAATTAAAAAAAACCCTTGCTACATCTACGAATACAACACAATACGCTTGCTCATTCATTTCAATTATAATACTCTTCGTCTCTTCATCAATTCAGCCAATGGCAAATCAGGAATGAACGCTACAAAGCAGGATCTCCAGCAGCTGTTTTATCCAGTCACTGCCAGCTTTCGTCATTGAGTAATAGGACGTTTTACGCTACGTGCCCTAGCATTTGAGAATGTGTTTAACTCGCTCTCTTAAAAGGTACTACGTCTTAATTATCGATAACCCTTCCCATCCCTACGCGGCGATTTAAGAAAAGTGCAATATTTTCGGCCCCCACGACCCGATTGTCGCGAACAAAGGGGAGAGCGTCTCGGAACCGGGGCTTTGTTGCGTTTGATACGTGTCTTGCGAGTGACGTGGCGGTGCTAACGGCGGTGGAGGTGCCATGACCTGGTTAACCAGGTTAACCAAGGTACTTTAAGGTTCGCGGAAGTCTAGGCTACGGCCGGATACCCGAGACACCCCCACTCGGGCAATGGCAAAACGCCGCCGCGCCGCAGAAGTTTCAGTGGGTATATCCCGTCTTTTTCAGAGCAGAGCAGAGCCCATTTCAGAGTGTCGGGAGTAACACACATCACCCTGTCCCCTGGCAGTGTTGACGGCGTGATAAGCATTTTCAACGCGATAAAAAAGGATACCTTAAGGTGCCATCATCAGCTCATTTCAGGCGTGTGTCTTTCGATTTGAGATTCGACGAAAACTAGATTCTCGTCCCCGTCGTTCGCTGGACTGTTGAGGTGAATCCATTCCGAAAAACCTAATTAACTTTATTAGAGGGTTTAGCGGGAATTTCAATATTAATACTCTTCTGCAGGACTACGATGACTTACCAAAGGTATATAGAGAATTTGATCTACACTCCCAACCTCCTCAAACATAATGTAAAACTTTGTGTAACTTGTTCCCAGTTTGTAAAAGAGATTGCATGCTGGAATGGAACTGATTGACTGTTTGACAAGGAAATATAATTTCGTACTTCGAAGGGCACGTATAGTATAGTAACAATAGGAATTGCTAAAGTGTCAAATTCATTTCCTTTTCATGACACTTTTTTTGCATAATAATGCGACATGACGTGCCGCAGGTTTTGGGTGTTTTTGTACCTATTAAAATCGTGACATGCTTTTTTGTATTTTTCGTAAGGTATTAAAAGGGCGAGATTTGCCGCAACTAAGATTAGTAACTCTCAGGCAGTTTCCGAGGAGGCTGCTTTCACACTCAAAAAAATACTTTTTGTGCCTAAGAGCGTGTGGTTTTAAATGAGAAACGTGAAAAAAGTACACATGTTCTTATGAAGAAAAGGGTTTCTAATGCCTTACGTAATGCTGGTCTTTTTGTGCATGTTTTTGGCTTCATCCACCGACTTTTAGCTACGTTTTTGAAACAAAAAGTGTAATTTAGGAGCTTCTACCTCGCACTTATAGAAAATGTGACATGATAATATTGCGTGATGGTAATAATAACAGGTAATGCAGGCCTACTTAAGTACAACGAATCGGTATTGTTGAATTTAGTATGTCTTGGTTTCGGCTATAAACCTGTAATTTTGCGTTTGCAAATTGGAGACATACCTAACAAATATTATACCTACAATATAATAGGTAGTCCTCAAGTATTTCACTCCGTAAGAAATATTAACTACCTATACTGAAGGCAATGTACACAGAATATTCTCAACTTTACCCGCAAACTCTCAGTCAGCCGCTAAGCGTGCAAAGTGCGGAAACAATCGAACTTCCAGAAGATTCCACAGTTCCCGGCACGCTCCAGAAAAGTGTGACGCTCAAAAAAGCAATCCCTCAATAATGGATAAACTGCGGACAACTTTGCCCGGCGTATCTGGAATTCTGGAGACCAACTTTAAGCTGGATTCGCACTATTAACACTACTGCGATGTATCGCGTCTATTTTTAGT